GAGCTCGAAGGTGCTCGAAGTCCTTCCCTATCCCGATACGATACCGTATCAGGTTCACCACCTCGTGTCTAGTCCAGTCCTCTGAGAGACTCTCTTACAACACCAAGACTTAAGTCACACAAGTCTTGAAAAACCGGTACAACTTGAGAACTTGACTCACACAAGCCTCACTTTCTTACAACACCAAGACTTGAGTCACACAAGTCTTGAGAACAACACTCAAACAAGATTGAGTTTACAACACAAGAATGAAAGCTCACACAATTGAGCAAGTAGTGTTTGAAAGATTAAAGCTCTATGGATGACAATATCTTTAGCACTCAATGAAAGTATTTCTAACTCTCAAAAATAATATTTGATGAGGAAGATGGAAGCAAGAAATGAATATAGCTCAATGAAGATTGGAGTGCAAGAGTTGTATTGAAATGAAGGAGAAGGAGGGATTAAATAGACTGAGTAAAATAAATCCATTGGAGCAAGCTAAGAATATGCACCAGAAAAAAATAATCGATTAAAGTAGAAGTTTATATCGATTATGGTACACAGATGCGAAAAAGCCTGAAATGAGGAATGGAACTAATCGATTAAATTGAAAAAAAATCGATTAGGTGGTTCTGTCCAAACAAATCGATTAACTGAAGATTAATAATCGATTAATTTATGGCCTGAGGAATCCAGCGCTGATGAGCTGGATCTAATCGATTGAATAAAGGCTTTTAATCGATTAAAAGAGAATAATGCGCAAAAACACAAAGGACCTAAGGCCAGTTGCGATTGAAAGGCATTGGCTTCATACTCTTTGTTTGAGACATCGAGAATAACAGGAACGCTCCTCAAATAATATCCATTCTTCAATTAATTTTGAATAGGGGAGAAAAAGTGAGTCCAAAAATTATTTTGTGTGTCAAAACGATGTACACGAAAAATATTTAAAGTATATTTTTCTTACCAAAAAAATGTGTATCCTTAAAAAAATATTTTTAAGAAATTTTGACACACTATTTTGAAACTAACTCAGTAAAATATTATTAGACAGAGAAAAAAATAATTTTTCAACTGACTTAGAAAATAATAATTTTTATCCCTCAAAAATAATTTGTTTATGCAAAAAGTATTGTTATCCTTACAAAAATTCCTAGACTCAATAAATAAAAGGTCTTCGGGATCTTCACTTCACTTCAAAAATCTGCGTAGGGGTGAGCGATTGATTTTTATCGTCGTAAATATCTTGATACGCCTCTTTGCTTTTCTCGATACGTAAAATAAATTTTCGATCATCTTGAATTTAATAATCATCATGTTTGTCATTCATCAAAACAAAAAAATATAATAAAGGGGTTTGAACTCATGTCCAACAAAAATAACAATAATTTGGGATAGAGTATAACTAAAATAGCTTTTGGGACATGCTAGTGGTACACCAAAATGGGATACCCCATTTGTACACCAGGCAAACACAAAAAAATACAGACACTAATAATTTGGGATAGAGTATAACTAAATATCTGTACTTATCTGTATTTGTCTGGTATACAAATGGGATATCCATTTTAATATACCCCTACGTTTATTCATATTTTTTCCCTCGAAATGTGCGAAAAGGGGTGCATCTTTTTCAATAAAAGAAATTGTTTGCAAATCATTACTAGACTAGTACTACTTTATCTTTTTGACAATAATAGTGGTTTTATTGGTTAACTTTTTTCAAGAAAGTAAAGAGAGAGTTATATTGCGCTTGTAGTTACGTTGTTAAGTTAGGTTGACCTTTTCAAAATTAATGATAAATGTTTTTTGTGGTTTTTAGGTCCTTGTTTTATAGACCGTAATACATAAAATAATTAAATATATTGAACTTTATAAAATGAAAGAGATTCAATTATGAGATCATTAATTGAAATATGTGATAAAGTCAGTATTTCATATGTGAACAGGTGTAAACGGTTATTAATCGGATCGGATGTGTCATTACAAATCCATATCTGTTTATTTTTGTCGGATATCGAATTCGGATACGGATCTTGACGGATACTGAAAATCAAAACCGTATCCGCATCCGTCGGATATCGGAGGTACCTCCAGAATTTGTTTATGTTTTGGTATTGGACAACCTGTGTTAGATGGGTACACAGATGCAGATATGTCTGGAGATGTTGATACTGCAAAGTCTACCTCGGGATACTTAATGACATTTGCTGGAGCTGCAGTTTCATGGCAATCAAGATTGCAGAAGTGTGTTGCTTTGTCCACTACTGAGGCAGAGTATATAGCAGCTGTTGAGGCAGGCAAGGAGTTGTTATGGATGAGGAATTTTCTTGAGGAGCTTGGTTTGGAACAAGAAAATTATCTTCTTCATTGTGATTCACAAAGTGCCATCCACCTTGCCAAGAATGCCGCATTTCATTCTCGAACCAAACACATTAAGAGAAGGTATCATTGGATTCGAGAAGCCGTGGAGGACAAGTCTTTTGAACTTGTGAAGATTCACACAAGTGAGAATTGCTCGGATATGTTGACCAAGACATTACCGAAGGAGAAACTCGTGTTTTGTCGAGAGAAGGCCGGTTTGTTTGCTCACTCCATGTAGGAGTGAGGGGGAGATTTGTTGGGAAAT